TACCTGCTTCTTCCATTTTGGGTCACGGGGTATATATATATATATATGTATAAAGCACCTTTTATATTGGTGAGTTATCTTGATGGAATATCCGATATTTAACTTTATTGCTAATATCAGCCGATACGATACCATGCCGATAATATTGTGCATCCCTAATAAAAACCCATCTGTAACATTGCAATCCTCAGGATTGTTCAAACATTTTAAACACAGCATCATGGAAGAGCTGTAAACCTTTTCATGCTGCTATAAAACGGTGTGAATCACTACATCCCATCTCAGGCAACAATAATCTCTTCAACATCCATGTTTTGAAAATATATATTTTTAACTGCCTTTGAGGAAGATCAGCTTTTACTGACAGGTTCTTTAATGAAATAGTAACTTCGAGAGCATTCAAATGTCTTTTTTTTCCCACTTGTTCCACGGGGTTGTCAAGTTTGAAAACAAGTTTGGCTCTTAAGAACTAACTAAATTCCTTTTCAAGAAACATATTTGATGAAAAGACGTTATTTCTTTGGAAAATACCAACAAAAGACGTTATGGTAGAAGAGTCAAAAGCTTAGTATTGTGTAAGAACGTGTTTGTGTGCACGTGTTGCTAGGGAGCTGTTTATGGTTTGGGGTTGTGAAGTACATACATTCAAAGAAATAATACATGTTTGTTCAGCATGCATTCAGAACTTTCAGATTAGTTTATTGCGTGATTACTCTGAAGGATGTCCTCTCTAAAGGAAAGAAAGCGCTTTATGGTCCTTTTGTGTGATGCAGCAGACAAACATTTGAGGACAAAAGGGAGGGGAAATAAGCTTGTAGAAGCGGTTTTATCTGGCCATCAGGGTCACATAGAATCATTGAGTGGAAAACTGTGTCTCCAAAGCACATAAAAAGCCTAGTGGACAACAAAACACGTGTCTTTGCGGGGATTGGGCAGCTTGAGGACACTGTGAGGGGGAAAAGAATGAGTAGCTGAAGAGTAAAAGCCACTGAAGAGTCACTTGTTGCGGTTGGCTTGTCTAATGGCCATCACAACTGCAGGAAGTGGACTCTTAATTGACTGCAACGTGTTTTCCACAGATAACCTATTAGACCAATGCCATTCACCTGTTGTGGGGCTCGCCAAGAGCCTTTTTGCTGCCAAATGGCCCACAGACTGGACAATTTAGGCCAGGGTCTGCCTTGACATAACATTAGTGCAAACACAATTAGAATTCAATTATATTTTACAGGTATGTCTCTTTGCTGCCAACAGTGAATTACATTAGATGGCAAGGTTCTCCCAAAGTAAAACTCCCAGATGAAAGTCAGTTCTCTGCGTGATCCAGAAAACAGTGACAGCCGAATCTCATTTTTTGAGGAAAATCAGACTTTTAATTGACTTTTCTGCAGGATTTTATATAGGACCTTATTAGCATAATACATTTTAATGCGAGTTATCGCAATCAAAACAGCGGAAATCATCATATAGGTTTGAAGGATTGAATCTGTAATGGCTAGAACTCAGCAACATCTAATTATCCTAAAATAAACTGGCGTGGAGGCAAAAAATAAAAGTAAATCCACCAGTGATTTTACATTTTACTGGTTTAAATATCATCAGAAATGTTGTTTTCCTGTTAGTTTCTTGAATAATGCTTATCTTGTAAAAATAATTTAGTGGGTTTGTGTTTTTTTTTTTTAAGTAATAAACTGCAGGGAATTGGAATGAAATACAGGAAAATTGCTCAAGTTCCTTGAAAATCCTCCTTTTTTTAACACTGAAATAAAAAAGAAATGTGTGGGATTGACATTCTGGAAAACTTGTTTGTCTTTGCAGTTAGTATTTTCGGAATTGTTCTTATAAATATAATTAGTGCCATTGTATTTTGGAATCAAATACTAATCTGCATTTTTACATTCTGCTGCTGACCAACCACATTTTGCTCACTGAATAGCCAAAAGCTTTCTTGAACTTGAACAGACTGAGTAATCAGGATGGAGGACTGGTGCTTAAATCACCATGTGATGGTTTAAAATGACTCAGAACCACTGCATTAATCTAGAAATAAATTAAATATATTTTAAAATGTCTTGCAAACAAAACAAAATATGACCAACCTGCAAAGTGTCCATCAGTGCTCTGCCTTCAACTTTAATAGCGGCAGCTAGTCATTATTTTAATGGAAGACCTAGTGAACGGCACAAGAACAACGAAAAAAGTATTTAAGTGAACATAAGAAAAAAAACATAAAAGGGTTCAAAATTTCCATGTTGCATTGTTTAGAAATGTTACCAAAAAATAATGTAAAAAGAGACAATAGAAGCAGGTCAACCTTTAGCAAAATTGCTAATCATTAAGTAATTTTACAGATTGCTGCTATCATGTTTATTGTATTTGAAGCATTAGTGTGAATCTATATATTTAAAAAAACCTGCCTGCATTTATAAAACAGCCTAAATTTCAAGGAAGGGGTAGGTATGTTTCAATTGGGTCAGCTGAGGTGACCTGTTTAAGTTTGTTTAAGTGTAACTTTGGAAAGCCATGTGCTGTTTGATATGTCCTCTCCTGCAGAAGTCAAGGCAGCTGGAGGTTGTAGCTTCACACAGCTCAGTGAGAAAACTGCTGCTCATCCAAGGGTCAACGTGAGAGGCAAACACACACTCACACACTCACATACAAACCCTCATTGGGTTACAGTTGCTGTCTGTTTCCTGTCTGTCATAGAGGCCTTTAGGCAGCAGTCACATGGAGGCTGGACAACGTGGTAGGTCCCCAGTGTACGTGACTTGTTGTGTTCCAGCCAGGTCAGGGAGGGTTCATGGCTCTGCTGGAGCTGTGGGGGTGGTTTGGCTCAGGGTCTTTACCATCTGCAAAGAAATGTGTTTATATGTTTTCAACGAAAATTGTAGAAGCTTTAATTTCATACTGGTCATCCATCCAATTATCCATCCATTTATCCATCCCTTGTTCCAAAGTCGGGTCTCTGGGGCTGTAGCTTGAACAGGGAGGCTTAGACATCTCTTTCCACAGCCTCCCAGCTCTTCTGGGAGAATTCCAAGGTATTCCCAGGCCATCTCAGAGACATAGTCTCCTCAGGGTGTCCTGGGTCTTCCCCCGGGTCTCCTCTCAAATAGACATGCCCAAAGCACCTCCCTATGGAGGCACCCAGTGAGTATCTTTACCAGATGCCAAAATCACCTCAACTAGCTCCTCTCGATGTGGAGGAGCAGTAATTCTACTCTGAGTCTCTCCTGATAACTGAACTTCTCACCCTATCTCTAAGGGAGAGTCCAGCTACCCTGAACAGTCTTTAGCAATGGGCCCCAATCTCATACTTGCAGAGCATCCTCCACTGTGGTCAAACACTTTCCAAGTCCACAAAACACATGTGGACTGGATGGGCAAATTTACATGACCCCTTGAGGACACTAGTGAGGGTAAAGAACTGGACCAGTGTTCCACGTTCAGGATGGGAACTGCATTGTTCCTGCTGGATCTGAGGTTCAACCAACAATTGGATTCACTTCTCCACTAGCCCTGAATAGACCTTACCAAGGAGACTAATGCCCCTATAATTGGAGCACACCCTCCGGTCCCCCTTTTTGAAGAAGGGAACCACCACCCCAGTCTGCCAATTCACTGGCACTGCCCCAGATGTCCACTCTATCTTACATGTCAACTGAGACAGCCCCACAACATCCAGAGCCCTAAGCAAATCAGGGCAGAGCTCATCCACCCTCTGAGCCCTGCCGCAGTTAGCTTTTTAACTACCTCAGCGACCTCAGCTTCCTCCATGGAAGACTTGCCTATGGGAATTAGAAGATATGAGAAGTAGTCATTCTACCTCTTGACAATTTCACTAGTTGAGGTCAACAGCACCCAATCTTCACCTAACACAGTGCAAGTAAAGTGCTGCTTTCCATTTCTCAGCTGTCTGATGGTTTGCCAGAATTTCCTTGGAGCTGACCAAGAGTTTTTATCCAAGGCCTTACCAAACTCCTCCCACATCCGAACTTTAGCGTCTGCAACAGCCAAGGTTGCGGCCCGCTTGGCAGCCTGGTACTCCTCAGCTGCCTCCTTAGTCCCACCAGCCAACAAGGCCCAAAAGGACCCCGTCTTCATCTTGACAGCCTCCCTAACCCATGGTGTCCACCACCAAGTGTAAAGATGGCTATCGTGAGAAGCACCAACAACCTTGCAGCCACAACTCAAGGCAATCCCCTCAACAAGTGAAGCGCAGAACATGGCTCATTGGTTAGTGAACTGAAATCATGTTTGAGCAAAATGTTTAATCTTATAAAAAATAAAACAATCTAATGAGTTCACACATAAAAAAAATTATTTGAGAGAAAGAAAAACGATCATATTTGTTACTTCTTCATGCATCTATCGTCTGTACCAAGTTGGTTCTGTTCAGGGTGAGTGGGCAAGAGGAGATCTGAACAGGCCATCACAGAGACAACACAGAAACACGTGAAACAACTAAATAGATCTATTTAGAATCTCCATTTAACCCAACAGACATGTTTCTGGACTGTAGGTAGAGAAAACCACAACATGCACTGGGAGAATGTGAAAACCAGCCCTCGGAAAGGCCCCAGCTGAGATTTAAACTGAACATCTTCTTTCTGTGAGGCAACAGTGCATTAATATTGTGCAGCCAGGATTTTCAACAGACAAACTATGGACAAGCAGAACAAAACGTATTGGATTACTTTGGAAATATTTGATGACTTTCTGCTTATTTTGGTCATATTTTTTGTAACATCATTCTCAAATGATGAAGCCCTCTGGATACAGGGCAAAACTTCTCTACAAAAAAGAAACTGTCCAGATGACCTGAGCATTATTGGATTCTCAAAATATGCTTTCCCTTAAGAAAAACAACTGCCTTCGATCAAGCAACAATTATGTAAATTATAGCAAGGTTTGTTCTTTAATATTCTTTTTTTACTGTGCAATAATACATTTCAGTAAAAAGTATAAATGCTGCAATTTTTTTGCAGGAACTAAATAATGGTAACATTTTTCATATCGGGAGCATTTCTTTAAATCTTCTTTTTCCAAGTTATGAGAAAGGAAAATGCATCCCTTTGGTTCTTGAGCACCAAAATGGTATTATTTATGTAAACATGTTATTCCTTCTATCAGCGTCCACCCTAAATTTGGTGTATGTGCAGCTAGGTCTTGAGAAGCAGAAAAAGCAACTGTTGTCACAATTTGCTCATGGACATGAATATTTGGTTTTTATTGCTTGCAACTTTATTTTTCGTGCATTCTTTATGTCTTTTAACAGCAAATACTGTTATCTGTTCAATATGCACAAAAACTTGGAACAGGTGGAGTAAACGAAATTAGCCATAAGAATTATATTTCATTATTAAGTGTGGGGAAAAAAGCTTGGGTAAGGTGCGCAAGTTAAGCATGCTAGTAGTTCCTGCAGTAGAAACTACTGCAATAATAATAATAATTTACAGTAAGACAAAAAGTATTTCCCTAAAATATCTTCATCCATTGACCTCAGGAATTTATTTATTTTTTTTCATTTAGCCTTTATTTATCCAGGTTAGTCTCTTTGAGCCACGAGAACTCATTTTCAAGAGAGACCTGTTTTTTTTTTTTAGGGAGCACATGGTGGGGGTTAAGGGCCTTGCTCATGGGCCCAGAGTGGGGCAAATGAGGGTGGGGGCAAGTGTGGGTGTTTCACCTACCCCACCCACAATTTTTGATGTTGTCGGGGCCGGGGCGTGAACCGGCGATCTTCGGATCACAAGCCCACCTCTCTAACCTCTGCGCCACCACTCCCCTAATAATAGTTAATAATAGGAATAATTTGGTTCAACTTTAAGACTCAAAAACATTCTACAATAAAATTCGATGCTTATTATTTTTTAATGTGGGAGCTTTTGGACATTTGCTGTTTGTAAACCTGAATGTAACTGTGAAGGCCAATTTTGCAATTTAAATTCACTAAATGCTGAAAGCTCAACAGTGTGATGATAACACTCTTATTTGGACTTGAAGCTCTGAACAGAAGTTCTCCATTTAAAATCAGTCTAATAGTGCTGATGTCCATTAGTATTTTTTTTTTTTTTAATAATAGGGAAATAAACTTGAAATGCCCATTTATCTACTCTGGTATCAACTAAAGAGCTCTGTGGCTGTTATTAGGCCATCAATGTTCTTTTTAATTAGTGCCCTCGCATCCCCATCCTGTGACCAGCACCATCTGAGGAAATCCTCAGCCATCTCCCAGATGGCTGCAAGAAAAATTGCGCTTTTAGAGCAACTTACACTCGGGGCAGAGAGCCATCGACAGCTTTTGTTTAAAGGGTTCCTGTTGAAGTGATGGAACATCTGCCAACTCAGCATGGCTGCCTGTTCAGAAACATCTGATATTGTCTGGGAGTGCTTTCTATCTCCAGCCTTTCCATTTGCATAAATAGCTTTTGTTGGAAGAGGCCCCTGAAAGGAGCATGTAGAAATTGCTATTTCCCTTCCTGTAAATCTCTTATTGCAGGGCATTATATCCTTCAAACTGAACGAGAACTCCACTTAACACTTTAACCAGTGTAAATAGAGGAAGATAAAAGCTCTGCAGACTTCAAAGCGCTCCCTGTGCACTCCTTCTCCTACAAACATCAAAACACCGGGGAGAAAACAATCTGTCATTTGTGTCGGATATATAACTATGAAGGACATTAATCTCCTTGATGACTGTGAGCCACAAGCAGCACGGAAAGGCTGAGTGGAGAATGGAGCATTTCAAGAACATCAGAGATTTTTTTTTTTCAGAGAGGATTTTTAAAAATTAATTTTCTGAACAGCTCAATCATTTTCTACACAGGCAAATGGACTGGATTTAATTAAAGTTTTTTTTCTAGCTGCGCAGACCACTCAAAGAGCATTTAAACTAAAAGCCACACAGAACGTTCATGTCCCACAAATCAGAATTTTCTCTACTTGCACTGTTTTTCTCTGTAGCTGCAGCCGTCCCAACAAGGTGGTAAAAACATGGACATTTTCACAAAGTTTAGGAGTAATTATGGCAGTCTGGCAGTAAATATATAACTAAGGCATATACAATTGTTGAATTTCATTGCTGCATACAGAGACGTGAGACAAAATGTTCCTGTGAGTAGATGAGGGAGAAGAAACTTGTTTATTTTATTCCACATTGTAGATAAGACTCAATCCATTCAGAGATTAACATGTTAATGTAAAGCAGGAAAATGTGTTAACATGAAAGCAACGTGTTTTCTGTGAGTTCACAGGAAAAGCAGCAATCTCGAGGTCTGAGAGGACAAACTTTTTAAAGGATTGTCACTTATTTGAGCGGAAACCTGTTTGACAGCTGAAGGGGTTTTAGACGATTCGGCTACGTTGCTATTTTAAAAATGGATTTCATTAAATATTGGCAAATTCTGAAAGCTGACATCCCAACTTGTGCACAATAAAAAAACAAAAAAAACAGGGCTGACGATAAAAAGTGGATGGCTTCTACAACAAAAACCTACATTCATTTACCTTAGCGTGCTCAAGCTAATGGGTTTAACCTTGACCTTTACCGACCCCCAAGGTAAACATCATTAAAACGCTGGTGGCTGGATTTCTAAATAGCAGCACAGATTAACACCCTGCAAAGAGAGATCCAATCCAAAGATCTTACAGGTTGTTGCAAAAAAAAAAGACAATGAGACAAATTGGACAAATTATGCATTTTGAAAGCATGGTGCTGTAAGCATATCTTTGTCCCCTAATATTCATTTTGGATTCTTTCTCTGTTTGTTTCCCGTAAACAATAAAACAAGCAAATAAAAACTAAAAAATCTGCTTGATTAAATTCCAAACTCAATAGATGAAGCAAACAGCCAGGACTCTTTGTGTCTGAGACTGGTTTGAACAGATTTGGCCACGTCTGTTAGCAAGCTGATAAAACAGATGTTTGTCGTTCATCATCACATCACAGACATATAAAACTATAAAACCCATTCTGCTGCTCATAATAAATAAAAAAATACAAAACTGAACAAACATTTATGAAATTCCTTTTAATAGTTCCCTGCAACACAAAGGCACATAAAAGTGTTTTGCTGATTCTTGAGCCCAATAAGCCATCCGACACTTCAGCTCCCCACTTGGCATCACGATGAGGCCTATCAACGCCTCTGAGATGTAAAACACAGCCTCTCCAGGTTCATTGTTTCATTGTTTCAATATATATTTGACCTAATTATCGGGAGGAGGTTCCACTCGGCGGCTGCGATTGGCTGAAACACGTTTGAAGCTGCTGTAAAATAAATATATAAAACAAAACCGAGCAACAACGGCACACCTGTGACGGGATCTCTGTGAATTTCAATGTTACAGTCGCTGATGGAAAACTGCCACTAACAGGTAATTATGCACTTCTGCTCAGGTTGCGTAGCAACTGCAGTGCTTTTTTTTCAGCGGCATCCCATTTGCAACTATCATTGCATTGATAAAACACAAGAAACAATGTAATAGAATCACATTTTTATTTACATTTTTGCACAGAATTGAGCAACATTTACAAAGTAAGTCAGATGCGTGTTTCTTTCTCTAAACAACCCGATAAGACTTTTTAAGTCTGCTATCTTTTCCAAGTGGCAAAAAGCACAACATAAAAGTTTTAATGTGTATATTGTTGTGATTATTACAATGTAAATTAGTAAAAAAAAATGTTGAAAGTTGTGATGAGGCTTGTGGAGGGGGCAGTCAAACCTTCTGTTCATTCCTTGTGCAATGTCCTCCGTGCCCACAAGGGAGAGATGTAAGCCAAGAGATGGACTGAGTTCATTTGATGGGTTGCAGGTTCAAAATGTAGAACTCACTTGAGAACTTTTCTGTTCCTCAGATAACTTAAGACAGATCAAATGAACTCCATATCTACAGTACAAGTCCTGAGGAGGCCTTCTGACGCTCACTGGAGACAGAACGAGGTTCATTCGAGGACTTCCCATGCAGAAAGTGTTTTGAAGTGGAAGTCGTAGATGAACAAAAGGCAGTTTAAACCTCCACGTGACACAAAACTGATGAGACTTCTGGACTTTAATAAGGAGAACACAACAGAATCCACAACTTTACTCCTGATCCTTCAAGATGATCTTTAAATCTTTTAATAGCTGTTGTATTTAAAGCGAG